CGGCTGCAGGCCGTGCGCAGCCCCCAGGGCCGCCTCCTCGGCCGCGCCAGGCGGGATCCCGTAATCCGCTGCTGGCCTGACGCGTAGCTGCTGTGGCGAGAAAAATCGCGTCTGCGTTAATGGCGCATTCGCGGGAGATGACACGAAAGCAGGGGCTTGGCCTCCGAGTTGCCGGAGGATGAGAGCCCAAAAGTGCACTGCACCCGCTGGTTTCCTCTGTCGTTGCACTGCTCTTTTTTTTTTCCCCTCCCTCCCAGAGTCTTTTGGAGATGATGCCATTGAATGCACTTTTGTCTCTCACTAGGTATGGATAACGGGAAGGATGAGAAAAGTAGGACGCTGTGTGCAACTTCACAAGAAGGGCTGAAAATCCGAGGTAGGCATTGCTGGTCTGCTTCTGTGCCATGGTGTTACATGTGCTGTCTTTCATGTCCTTCACCATGTTTGACCCCGATACTGAGCATTGTCACTTGCTAATGGTAATAGACCATGGGTCGAGGGAGGTTATCCTCCCCCTCTACTCTGCCCCGGTGAAACCCCACCTGGAGCACTGTGTCCAGCTGTGGGCTCCCCGGTTCAAGAAGATGAGGAACTCCTAGAAAGAGTCCAGAGGAGGGCAACAAGGATGATGAGGGGACTGGAGCATCTCCCCTATGAGGAAAGGCTGAGAGAGTTGGGCTTGTTTACCCTGAAGAAGAGAAGACTGAGAGGGGACCTCATCAACACATACAAATAGCTCAAGGGTGGATGTCACGAGGACGGAGCCAGGCTCTTCCCAGTGGTGTCCCGCGACAGGACAAGGGGCAATGGGCACAAACTGAAGCATAAGAGGTTTCAGCTGAATATGCGGAAGGAATTCTTTACTTTGGGAGTGACAGAGCACTGGAACAGGCTGCCCAGGGGGGCTGTGGAGTCTCCTTCTCTGGAGATATTCAAAGCCCGCCTGGATGATGTCCTGTGCAACCTGCTCTGGGTGAGCCTGCTTTAGCAGGGGGGTTGGAATAGATGATGTCCCGAGGTCCTTTCCAACCCTTCTCCATTCTGTGATTCTGTGACACTGGAAGAAGGGAAAAAACCACAACCGACCCCTCAAAACAGGGGTTCATTGCATTTAAGTTCTGCGAAGAGTCGTTTTTTGTAGACCATAGTTACTAGCATGCTTGTCACTGTTACCTTGTGTTATCCGAAGGAAAAGAAAAAAGGAAACGAAAACGCAGTAGGAGCAGATCATCATCCGTTTCATCCACATCGTCTTCTAGCACTACATCCACTTCTTCCTCCTCATCACGCTCATCGTCAAGGTCATCATCTTCAAGTAGCAGAGGTGAGCTACCTCCATGCGTACACGTGGTTTTTACCAGTTTTGATAGCACTCCTGGCAACGTTTAAAGCTTATTTGAAATGTGGCTAGGCCACCACAAAGCGACAGTGTGGAATACCAATACTGCACATTCAGAGTGTTTCTCTCGTAACCCTTTCCTATTGCTGTGTTAAGGTACCTCTTTACACACAGTGTGCAGTGTTCCTGTGTTAATTTAAATAACTTCAAAATAGAAACGGCCCTTCAAAGAAATGTTACTTTGTAACAATATGCTGTATATATCTAAAACTCTATATTCGTTATGCTTTCAAAACACGTATCTTTTTCTTCTTCACCCATCTATCTAGACCAGAGTTGGGGTTTTTGATTTAGTCTTACTTTGGTCTTAACATTTCAAGCATTTAACTTTGAGGACTCACGTGACGTTTATTAATAGCAGTGACCAAGTTTAATGGCAGCACATATCCAAGCATTGCAGGATTAAGACTTTCCGTACTAAGCTGCTGCTTACTTAGAGGACTTGGGGTAGATACTGCCTGGGAGTTAAGTGCAGATTTTTTCTATGGGTACAACTTGTGACATTGAGGGGAATGAGTGCTGAAGGAGCTGGCAGAGGAGCTTGCCAGGTCACTCTCTATCATTTATCAGCAGTCCTGGATAACAGGGGAGGTCCCAGATGACTGGAGGTTGGCAAATGTGACGCCTGTCTTCAAGAAGGGCCGGAAGGAGGATCTGGGGAACTACTGACCTGTCAGCCTGACCTCAGTACCGGGGAAGATTATGGAGAGGTTCATCTTGAGTGTGCTCACCAGGCACATGGAGGACAATCAGGGGATCAGGCCCAGTCAGCATGGGTTCATGAAATGCAGGCCTTGCCTAACCAACCTGATTTCCTTCTACGACCAGGTGACCCGCCTGGTAGATGAGGGAAAGGCTGTGGATGTTGTCTACCTGGACTTCAGCAAAGCCTTCGACACAGTCTCCCATAGCATTCTCCTGGAGAAGCTGGCAGTTCATGGCCTAGATGGATGTACTCTTCACTGGGTTAAAAACAGGCTGGATGGCCGAGCCCAGAGAGTCGTGGTGAACGGAGCTAAATCCAGTTGGCAGCCGGTCACAAGCGGTGTCCCCCAGGGTTCAGTTCTAGGGCCAGTCTTGTTTAATATCTTTATCAATGACCTGGATGAGGAGATTGAATGTGCCCTCAGTAAATTTGCAGATGACACCAAACTGGGTGGTTGCGTTGATCTGCTTGAGGGGAGGAGGGCTCTGCAGAGAGACCTAAGAAGGCCAATGGCATCCTGGCCTGTATCAGGAATAGTGTGACCAGCAGGAGTAGGGAAGTGATCGTGCCCCTGTACTTGGTGCTGGTGAGGCGGCACCTTGAATACTGTGTTCCGTTTTGGGCCCTTCACTACAAGAAAGATGTTGCGTTGCTGGAGCATGTCCAGAGGAGAACAACCAAGCTGGTGAGGGGTCTGGAACACAAGTCATATGAGGAGCGGCTGAAGGAACTGGGGTTATTTAGTCTGGAGAAGAGGAGGCTGAGGGGAGACCTGATCGCCCTCTACAACTACCTGAAAGGAGGCTGTAGGGAGGTGGGGGTCGGGCTCTTCTCCCTGGTAACAGATGATGGGACGAGGGGGAATGGTTTGAAGCTGCGCCAGGGCAGGTTTAGGCTAGACATTAGGAAAAACTTCTTCACCGAAAGGGTTGTCAGGCTCTGGAATGGGCTGCCCAGGGAGGTGGTCAAGTCCCCATTCCTGGAGGTATTTAAAAGAAGGATAGATGAGGTGCTTAGGGACATGGTTTAGTGGTGGGATGGCAGGGTTAGGTTAAAGGTCGGACTCAATGATCTCAAAGGTCTTTTCCAACCAAAGTGATTCTATGATTCTATGATTCCATGATTCTATGTATTGCTGATTATATCAGGACTGCATTGTTTTGCTATTTTGTATCAAAATATTTGATATCGCTGCAGGTAAAGTGACCAAATTGCCATTTTTTACTAAAATGCATCAGGCTGAACAGAGAAACGTGTTTTATTCTTTTTTACTATGACTGGGAAGAACTGTAGTGTTAACTCTAGTGTAAACTTCTCCTGACGAAAAGTCTAACATCAGGGACAGCTGAAACTTCACAACCTGGTACAGGACCTCCTATTTGTGATTGTGTATTCCACAGTTTAACAAAGACTTAGTTCTCCTTCTCTTGAAGCAGATTTACATTTGTATGGAAATATTACTACTTCTCATACTTCAGGGGCTTGATTCAACGTATCTGACCTAAATAAATCCTGAAAACATTCAAACCTATGAATTTGTACATTTGATGGGGGGAGGTCTTCCTTTCTTCTTGAATGAATTTTATCCCATGTAATACACCCTAAAATTTCTAAAAAGAATTAAAACCTCATGTCAGACACTGACTGTGTGACCATGCTTGGCAAGCTCTTTGCTTCATCTTTTGGAGGGCTGTCAAGAAACATGTATCTGAGGGAAAAAAATCATCCTGAATTAGGCTCAGGTTGTCAGTCTGCATGCTCAGAGATTTGTTAAAACTTTACAACTAAAAATTCCCTAAGTTTTCCTGTTCACAGGGGAGAGCAGACCTAGCAAAAATGTCCTACAAGGGCACGTTCAGGCCACTCTGTTTACTCCATCTAGACAAGAAAAGATGTGAGGTAATTGAGCATAGGTAGTTGCCACTACAGAGATGGAGTGAAAAATCATTCTGTGACTTTCAGAGCAAGGAATTATGACCTTAAATTGCAACAGGAGGGGTTTGAATTAGATCTAGTAAAAATACGTCCTGGCAGCAGAACAGTGGAATAGCTTGCCTAACCTGCAGTTAAAGACCTTGGATGACAAAGGTTGCCCTAGTCTCACGTGTCAGGTCTAGCAGGAGTGGAGTTAACATTCCTTGGGATAGCAAAATGGGAGATTTCTTCTGGCATTTTTTTATCTGTGTTTCTTATTTAGCAAGTGCAGCTGTAACTCTGGCTGTTAGACACTGGGCAGGGGCTGGGAAAACTGAGAGGAGAGTGGGGGAAACTGCATCCTGCTCTCTTGAGCTCTATGCCCCACCTGCTTTCTCCAGCCGTGCTGGTAACATAGGTTATATGGAAAAAGAAGCTAACTTGAATGCAAAAGGGACACACTTCGCTGTGGAAAGAGACATCGGGATACAGAAACTGGGAATGCAGCTTGTTAGGTGGAGCTGGGAAGGGGGTTCCCCTCAGACAGGAGATAAGCAGGCAAGTCAGTGCTAGAACTAGGGAGGTGGGGTGGCCAAGTGTGGAAACAGATTGAGCTAGTGAGGAGGCCGGATGGTGAGGGGCAGCAAATCGGAAAGAGTTGGAAAAAGGGAGGAAAAGATGGCCTGGCTTAGCCTAGGAAGTCATCAGTTCAGTGCAGAATTCTAGAGAAGTTCTTGTAGGGTTTGTGGTCACGAGAACTGTGGCTGGGGTGGTGGGAGATAAAAACTGGGTCTGTAAGAGATGTGGGCTAAAGGGATAGAACTGGGCAAGTGTCTGTTCACCATAGTGCACTGATTTTCAGAGTCTGGAAGGAAACCCAGTGTTCTTGAACGCACTCCTTTCCTGATGTTGGCAAACATTTGTAAAAGCCCTCTGGCCAGGTATGCCATCCCCTGTGGGCACTTCATCCAGTCCGTTGTTACCAAAAGACTGAACGTGGTGAAAGAATTACCATTTTCATCATTTCTTCTGACATGCTTGAGCTACATTTGTCATTAGGAGGCCAAAAGAAGACTGCTTGGGTGGCCTTACCTTAGACTTTTCTAACTTTTGAGTCCGTCTGTGCTCTGGTATATTCTATACTGTTACCTTTTGCTTGTAATTTACTGTACAGAAACTGCAGAGCTGATAGCTTGAAGACGCTCTGTGAGAAGACTAGTAAGCTGTTGCACAGTCTCTCTAGGTTTACTGTCCCATAGTCAAAGCTGGTGCTTCAAAATTGACTTCCTCATGTACCAGCCACAGAGTAATCTTTAAAATCTATGCCTGGCTTAAAGAACTTGTGAGTTTCTGCTTTACAAAGTTTACTAAAAACCTTAAAGTTGGAAGGTGAGCTGAGTAAGTATGAAAAGTTTTTCATTTGCATTGAATGGTGATAATATTTTCAGTGGTTTGTCAGCCCCAGCAGTACTTCTTGTTGCCTCCTTTGAAAGTCAGGATCGCTGGCTATAAAACATAGTTACAATCTGGTGAGCACAGCTGCAGAAAGAAGAGAGAGGTATTGTCTCTATTAATGTAATATATTGGTGTAAGTAATCACTGGGTAAATCAGGTATTTTCAGTTTCCATGTTAGAACAGCAAGTGACAGTAAGTTAATGTGTTGCTTTTCTCAGGGTTAGTTTCAAGCAGTGTTAATATATATATAGCTGAACTAAAGCATTTACTTCTTACGTTTCACATTTCTGTATGCCTTCTCTGTAAAACCAAATGCCTTTTTCAGAATGTTAAACTCACAGCGTTTGATTTTTTTGTTTGTTTGTTTGGTTTTTTTTAATTTTAGATTCTCCTAAGTCTAAGTCAAAGAAAAAGAAAAAAGAAAAACACAACAAAAAGGTAAGTAAACATTGACAAAGAGAAATAAGTAGCTAACAAACAGAAAGTAGTTCTTCATATTTTGCTAACCTTAAAAGTCATGTAAGATGTAATGCTTTTGTCTGTGGCTATGTAAACCTGAATTATGCTTTTGGTGTTACAGTAAGTGAAGTGATAGGTAGGCATATACTTGACTGTATACTAAAGGAGAAATAATTTAACGGTTCCTTTTGCCAATTGTTGCTGGTCCAGCAAGAGGTTATAGTGGTCTCTGAAGAAAAGAGAAGTGGCGAATCTTGATAACTTTATAGAATTTGTCAGAATAAATGATTTATAGTCAGTGAGAGAATAGTAGATTCTGCTATTGTAATTTTTCATTTTATTAGGACCTTCTGTTCAGTGATTTTATATATTGGGGTTACATTAAAAGAGAGAGAATAAGGGATCAGACCATTTCTGTTTCTCAGGATCTCAAGGGTTGCTAACCCTGCTGCATTGCTTTCTGTGTACTTCAGATAGTACCTGTTCAGCGGTGGCAAGGGCAAGCAGTAGTGGCTGTCTTAACTAGCAGGGGCGTTGGGAGCTCCTTGTGGATTTCCATTTTTTGCCCTTGTGAGCCTATATGCATAAGAGTGTATGTCTTATACTTGTAGAAAAGGAAAAAAGAGAACAAAATGAAGAAAAAGAAAGAGAAGAAGAAAAAGAGAGAGAAAACAGGACCTGTCCAGCTTTCCAAGGTATGCTTGTGTGAGCCTGAAGTCCTGTTACATTTCTCATCTAACACTTAAGCTGTCCTGTCATAAAAATGTTTATAATGCCGCCAGTTTTGTCATCAGCAAATAGAAACCTATCTCTCTTCTTTTGGACAGTTAGGTAGTATAAAAGATTATTTTCTCTACTTTTATTTAAGATTTGTAACATTACAAATAAAGCTTATGTTTTTCTAATGTGTGATCTCATTTTAGTTCTTCAAAAACAAAAAGAAGAATGAAAACTACAGTATGATAACCGGAAAGAAAATTAAGATGAGAATAAAGAAGACTAAAAAGGATAAAGAGGTAAGAGTTAAAATAATCTGTATATCCCTAAGGGAAAATACCGTATCTTAATATTTTTCTAATAGTAGTCTTTTGTAGAAGAGTAGATCTTACAGTTAGGAATTGTAAATTGAGTGTAGCTTTTTTATGTGGCTATGATGCCATCTGAGAAATTTTGATTCATTCTTTTGGCAGGTTTTGTGTTACGAGTAGATAAACCAAAGGATGCTTGTGCAGGTTCTTAGAATTTCAGCCTCTAATGTTTAGCTGATTCGTGGCTTTCTCTGTTGATTTAATTTGCACTGGTTTTGATTGTTCTCATCTTCTTCCAGTCTCTTGTGATCAGTTGTGGTAATTGCTGCTTCACTGTGTTTTTCTAATGCATATGAGGCTAGCCATTATTTAGAGAGGAATTAAAAAAAGATGATAGTAGTATTAGGACCACATGCTTATGCATTCTCTCAAAGCAGTCAAATGTTTTTGCTGAGATACCCAGGGAAATAGATATTATGAATAGCATTTTGTGCTCTTTTCAGTGGTTTCCACACCTTAGAGTGATTGGCAGAGGGCTTCTGGTAGTAGTCAGTATGTGTTAGAAATGTTACTTTGCTGAGGTGTCCAGTTTGGCAGATTCTGATTCAGCTGTAACAGTTTGTTCTATTATAGCTACCAAAGCAGACCTGAGCATTCCAAGTTAAATTTGATCAAAAATACATTCTCTTCCTTCTGCGGCACTGAAGTTGGTGTTAAGTTATGCTGAATGCTTGCTAGCCTTATCCGAGTAACCTGCTTGTTACAATATTTGATGATAAATATTTTATGTAGGTCCATTTTTGATTGGTGTCCATGGTCATGAACATGCTGAACTTAAAACAATATTTTAAGACTCAATAATTGTTTTATAAATAGTGATTTTTTTTTTTTTTTTAAACACTGAAATCAGGTGTTTTGACTTTGGGCCATCTCTTACGTAAAGAAAGACCCTAAATTCATGGTTCCCTTTCTGTTGTGTTGCAAGCTGCTGCTTATGCATACTAAAAAATGATACTTCCCAAAGCTTAAGACTTGCTGTGTGTACAGTGAAAGTTGCCTCAGACACCAGAGAATTGCATCTGTTCTGCTTGTGAGTTCCCTCCTGAGCAGGCTATGAGCTACATGATGACAGCTCAATGAAACCTCCATGGGGAGCCACCTAGAAATTGTATCATGAAATAGTGACAGTGACAGCTTTTCTCCTATAGCATCTCTCCTGAGTACCCGTTGCCTTGCACTTCCTCCAGGCAGTCACACCTAACTGGTAGCTGGTCATATCCAGCTGTTTGAATGTGGTAGTGTTGGTTGTGCAGTGTGCCAAGATGTGAAAGCCCCACAGAAAACAGGGTTGTGCAGCCTTAGTCCACTGAGTACAGGTCTGTTAAACCACTGCCTCTGCTTTTCTGCTCTACAGAGAGACCGGAATCGTGCAGAACTCCTTGAATTTCTGAACTCTGCCTTATAATGGGAAGAGTGCTGAGGAAGGACTTGTAAATGTACCAAGCCAACAATCATCATGCCTAGCAAAACACTAAAGGGAAACTCAGGGAAAAGGACGCCAAGTTTGACAAGACCAGACTCTCCTGCTGAGAAGACAAGTGGGATGTCCTTTTTTAATGGCAAAATGAAGAGTAACTGATAACTTGTTAATGAAGATCCATGTCCTCCTTTTGAGATCCTAAGGTAATAGCCAGGCTGTGGTGGTTTTAGAAGAGCCTAAGGGTGTGTTGTTGACAATGATAAGAAAAGACACACTGGAGTCCAGTAATGTAATTTCTATCCTAACTGCATGCAGAACACACTCTGAATTTCAAATGTCTTAATGTTTCTAGTAGTTTACGCAAAGCAGAGTATCAGTAAATGTCTATTTGAAAGATGAGGCGTTTCTATATGTATATTTTTTCCAGTAGTGGTTTTACTTGTCCTAAAGAGCAAGTTGACCTTATTTGTAAATAGAACATGCTTTTACATAAATGATTTTTTGACAGTTTATTCACTAATACGTTATTTTCTTTCAGAGTTTGAGACATGGTCTTTCTCTGGACAGTTTTTTGCTCTCTCTCACTAGGAAGTGTAACAGTAAAATACTCTAGAGCAATAATGGTAGCTGAATGATTTTTATCCTAAAATAGAAGCAGGAAGGGTCTCTGGTTTTGTTTGTTTATCTGGATTAGCTGTTAAAAGACAGCTCACAATAAATAGTTTATCCCCCACATCTGGAGTTGCAGTTCCTAGACCTAAAAACTCCGGAGTTCTGTCCTGCCTTTCTGATCCTGTGAGGTGTGTATCAAGTGTTCCTCTGTCTGAAGTGCAGCAAGACACATCACATGTCTTAGTCTAATGGAAAGAGAAAGAGCTGTAGGAATGATGCTGAGGCAGGCAGTGACAGGGACCCTCCAGGTGTGTTGACAGTCCACTGTGAGAGGTGACAGGTCTGGATATGCAGCTGGACCCCGGCGTAACTTGTGTGTGTGTCTTAGACGTGGTAGTTTGCTCAGTGCTTGCTCACGTCCCTCCAGAGCCTTGACTTCTGATTACCTAGCAGGCCCCTGTGTACATAACCCTGATGTGGGAATTCCACTTGAATTCCTTGTGTACTAAGCGCTCCTTGGGAACCATGATTTAGGAATACCTATATAAAGGAGTCAAGGGTAGTTGACAAGAATATCAGGTGTACAGTGGTCAGAGTGTGGGGAGTTCATTAAAGAGCAAACAAATGGAAAACTCTTTGTGTCTGTGTCTGCCATGGTGTTTCAAGTAAATCTGAAGATTTGTACTGTTGCTCAAGGGATAATTTTAAAATTGTTTTGCTGTGTGAAACCTTCTGAAGATGGTAGAATCCTGTCTTTTCCCTAGGTTTGGTTGTTTGGGGTTTTTTTTGTGAAGCATTTTGCAATTGTTACAGAGACATAACTCTTCAGTGATTAAAGCCCTGATCCAGAAGAGCAAGTCCTCACATCCTTATGAACATAAAACATGAAAACACATAGGTAAGAACTGGAGTTTCCTTGACTTTTAATCCAGTGATGGAAGCTTTTTTTTGGAAGCACAGTTCTGAAACGTCAGTAGGGGAAAAAACAAACAAAACTCTCCTTTTTTTTTTCTCATGGGGATCATGCCTTGATTTATGCTACTTTGCTATCTTTTAGCTAGCAATGCCAAAGCATCTTGCCTAGATAAGCAACTTTTATCTCTGGACTTCTCTTAACAAGATTGAATCCCAAACACACTCTTAGAAGACACCAACATCCATTTGCCATTCCCTACGTTGTATTTTATGTAAAGATAGTATCATTCCCTGAAAATTTTTTGGGGGGGCGGGGGGGAGTAGAAATTTGGAAGATAGAAAGCAAATAGGAATGGGAAACCCAGAGATCACACTTGTAAAGAACTGCGCTGGTTGGAAGGTTCAGACTTAATTGAAATAATCTGCTTTTTTGTTGCCTTTTTCAAGATCGGTCAAGATTGTAAAAACTCCATCGCTGTTCCATGCTAGTGTGGAAAAGGCAAAGGACCTTTAGTAATATGACACAGTCTGTTCCTCATGTAGGGTTTTGGTAGTTGCCAACTCTGACTGTACAAAAATGAGTCAGACCACCTTTTCTTTAAAAAAAAAAACCCCAACCCACAACTACTTTTTTTTTTGGCAGGGGCTGTTTCAGGACAGAGGTTTTCCTGTTAAGTTTTGACATGCTGGATGTGCTTTGGTGATGCTTTAAACTATTTCTATGCCAGCATTTACTTCTAAGCTACCACTTCTTTTAGAAAGCCAAGCTGCTTAAGTTCTGTGGCAGTGATTCAGTTTTTATTCTTTCCTGCCCAGTCAAACTGCTGTCTGAAGCTTCCCAGCAGTTGCTGCTTTTAAAAGCCTCCTTTTCTTTCCTACCCATCTCCGCATAGATTCTCAGGTTTCTAAAGAGGTTTGAGTTCATGTTGCATTTTTTCCTCACCCATCTTTCCCCACAAGCACTGAGGTCACATGCATCTTCTTGGGACTGAGTATCTTTGAGGCTGCTGTTTGGAGCTGGCCAACGGATTCCAGTCTCCCTAGTGAGCACAGGCCCATACAGCTGGTATAATTGTCCATGCCTTGCTGGCTCAGGAAAGAAGTTAAATTTGTTGACCTTTTCACTAATGCATAGCTTCTTAATACTGCTTCAGATTACTATTGTGGCAGCTGAACCAAAGACTGAACCAGATGTAAAGGTTATGATGGTAAGGTAAGAGATGTAGAGGAATGTGATGAAATACAGATGGAGAAATTTGCATGAGGGAACTGAAGCGGCGTGGGATGTCGACCTGATATGCAAATGGCTGATACAGAACCTTGCTACCAGGTCTCAAAAAAGTGCATATTGTGGGGGAAGACGAAGGCTGGAACAATAGAACAATAGAAAAGATATGAGGTAGGGACAGGTTGCCGCTGTCGGAAGTCATGGAGTGGGGCAGAGGTCAAGTGATAAGGAAGGGGCTACAGAAGCTTACCTGGCTGGACAAGTTGAGATTCTTGCTAAAATGCTGAATAATAGAAGTCTTTCAGATGTGAAACCTACTTTTGTGTGTGTGTGTGAGACAGTCTTCCTATCACACCCACTTTCTGTGTCCCTGCACCATTTTCCATTCTGGGAATCATGCAGAACTCAACTCAGTTTCTTTAACAACAGAAATTCCTGAAACAGAAGTCACTGGTAGGGGGGAAGAAGGGGAGGATATATTGTCTGAGGTATTGCCACCATGCCCATCCTCCTTGGCACTATTCTAAGTATTCTATACCATTTACAAAAAGTTGTGCCACAAGCAGCAAAATTGGTAAGGCTTGGTCCCTTGGGATTTGTGCCTTTTGCTTTTTAAGCCCTTGCTACCACACTAGTCCTGCCTCCCGCTCACGTGCTTTAGCTAGGCAGGCATAAATGTAAAATGGCTGTGTGGTTTTCATCGGTCCCCTGGTGGAGGGTGCTCATTTGGACCTCCTGCATCTAGTGAGTAATTATTATGAAGCGGGAAAGGAACCAGGTATTTCTGAAGATCTTTCCACAATTGATACAACTGGTAGTAGTCCCAAATAGAAGGGGATGGAGCACAGTTACATAAGTTTCTTCTGTTATGCAGGGAAAATGGGCAAAAACCCAAATATGAAAGAATGGTTGATGCAAAGTAATTAAGTGATTCAGCCAGTTCTCATGGGCAATGTGATCCTTTTACTTTTGTTTCCTTTATGATTTGCCTGAACTTGACTTCTTTGCCTGTGCAAAAATGTACAACAGATCAAGATGAGAAAATACTTGTAAACACCACTTTGTCTTGGAAGCACTTGCCTCCACTGAACTAAGATGTACCATCCTGCAGCACTGAGCAAGGCCTGCAATTTTGATACCTGTTCAATATTTAGTACGGTTAAACTTAGGCAAGTTGTGCAGGTTTGATGTCATTGGATGTTTCATGCTGCAGGAATATATGAGCCTTCCCAGTCATCCTCTGCTGCAGGAAAACTGAGCAAGGTCAGAGAGGCTGAAGTAACTTGCCCTGGGGTCACCTGCTGAACCTGCCCTGGGGAGGTGCAGGTGGGGGCCTTGACCACTGGATGGAGCTCCGATACGCTTTGGTGTACGCATTAAACATACTCCTGGTCTTTGCTGTGAATATTTAGAAACAAGTTTCCAAAGCTCTTGCCCAACTCTCAAGACTGGGAGCTCCACTCTCACTTGAGCACTCCCTGAAATGGCTGGATTTTCAGTGGTAGTGGGTCCTCCTGAAGGAGATGAGGTCCTAGGCACACCTGAAAATCCTCCAGCCAGCAGATAATAAGCTTTTGAATAGTTGCTTCTTAAAATTACTGGCAAACAGACAGCCTTCTAGTTCCATCTCTGGACAAAATGAATCATCAAAATTGCCATCCAGTGTAGAGATCATGATTTATGTGGCTGTTGACAGCAGCTATTTTTTTCCTGCCTGTTCAATGGAGGTCTTAAATTGTGATTCACAAGGAGTGTGACACACATAGTGTTTTCTGAGGGAAGAGGAGGACATGGTGCTGAGGGCCCTAAGGAAGCATGTTTTGAGCCTTTTCAAGCAGCATGAAGAACATCATTAATATCCAGTGCAATAAGTGTACATTGATCACAAGGGCAAAATGTTTAAGATCACAACTGTTCTGATACCAGCATGCTGGCCACTGGTGCTGTCTTCCAATAAGGTGCTAAATGCTACAGCTAACATCAGTTGTGTTCATTTTGCTCTCTGTTTGTGAGCTGTTCTCTGGGTCACAGTGGTGTGAGAGAAAGGTAGCATGAGATTGAGGAATCTGTATTTGTCAGGAGAGGCCTGGTTAGAAAGCTGCTGCCTGTTTCCTGCTTAATCGGTGCTGGGAAATCTGCCAGCAGGTGGCAATGCTGTCCAGCTGGACTGTCACAGAAATTTAATTATTTTTTTTTTTACTCTTTGGACATTGGCTTTGCACTTTCTTATTCTGAAACCCTATAAATAGCCTGCAAAGACCTAATTAAGTGTTGTTTATGGGGAACATTTGTTACTGCTGTCCATGAATTTAATCCAGTCTTTGTTCATTTCTTGCTCTTGGCTGTGCTATGGACAGACAACAGTCTCCTGCTGGTGCTTGTGTGCCAAAGGCAGAAGGAAGCCTTTAACCTCTAAGTAGTTCAATGCAACAGGAGCAAGTTGCTGAGAGCCAGCAGGGACCTGGAAGAACCAGGTGTTCTTGCACCGTCCCTACCTGGGGATGCCAAGTTCTTCAGAAACTGCACACTGCTTTTCTCCATCTCTTAAATAATTTCAGACCTCCAGTGCTAGAATATAGGAAAAAAAAAATACCTGAGGAGTATTTCAGTGTCACTGCTTCATAGCACATCTGGTTATTTAAATAGTTTTCAGGCTGAATTAGGTGCAATCTATTGTTTTAGGCAACCTGACACTGCAGAGAATAAGGTTGGAAAAGGTACTGCACATGGACTGTGACCTGACAGAGGCCACTGAGGATATGGCATTGTGATCACTAAACAGGTGTAACATTATATTCTGAGAGTAGATACTTT